GGTCGACATAGCGTTCCATTTACACGAGTAAAAATTTAAAGAATTTCATCGGCAAGAGTACTGAACATATTATGCTACACAGGGAAAATTCGCTACTAATGGCAAATCGTTCGCACTGGACACGAAATTTTGAAGGTTGAAAAAGCACCGATACTTGCTACCCGCTCGCACCGATACTTACTACTCGAAAAATAGAGCAGAATAAATCGTCACTAGTCGAGTGAGACTTTTTGGTTTTGGGTATGGAACGAGTTCTTTAATCACACGTTCAAATCAACATTTATGCCCTGCTCTTTAGAGCTACCCTTCACATCTCAAGGATGAAAAAAGGCGTGGCTGCGTGTTCATCTGTACGGACGGAGGCTACGTTTTGGTGGGATATTCTAGTTTGAGGATAATCCAATGTTAATGTCCAGCACACGATAAGGTGACAGTCGTCTCAGATGGGAACATTTCTCAACGACACATCCTACCACGCCCTTTTCATCTCCAGGATATAGACTGTAGTCACTGATCTCTGGTCCATAGGAGGCGAGACGGTCCGTGAGGTTTGAGATGGGAGGTATCAAGGAGTGATGAGTTAGGGGCGGCGCGAGCTCTTTATTTTTTTTTCTCCAGCAAGCGACAAGACTGTGTCATGCTGCTCGTACCAGTCGTTTTCCACCAGTTGTTGCCACTTACTCGCTTCACATCTGGCGGAGAACGGGCCGACGGCGCATCCAAACTTTGCGAAGGGTCGTCAATGACATGCCCTTCATACGACTAACCAGATTGTACGCGAGGCCTAACAACGTCCACAATGGAAGTTGCCAATTTCTCTCTCACTAGATTTCTCATTATCACCAAGCTTTCTACAAAACTGGGTAACGCGGACTGTGCCTCTTAACATTATATTTCATTACAAACATTAACATACCCATGCTTCTTCCAGTCACAGCGTTCGCAAAGATTGTTTTGAAGTAGTCCGATGATGCTGCGAGGATGACCCGATGGGCGCTTATTCTCGTACCCTAGAATAGGTCATCATCATCATCTAATCATCAACAATAATAAATCGTCCCATAACTGAATTCACCTTTCCGACGAGGGTAACATCGCAAAAGCAAGAATCATTACGAAGCTTTGCGAGCTCCTTGACAAAATCGTTCAGGCAGTCGGCGTTCTAAACATTGTCAAAGTTTTCGAAAATCCACTGAAGACTCTCTCGGAGATGGGGAGGGTATTTCCATGAGCTTAAAGGAAGAACCCGCGATTACTCGCCATCTCAGATGGTGGATTGAAGGTTCCATATAGACGACAAGGGGTTGAGTAACTCGACTGTGAACAAAAAAAGCACAAAAACATGCCACCTGCCCTAGATAGAACCCCATTTCGATCCCAGTTTGTACGTGCCCAATCAACTCTATCTCCAAAACTACGCCCTCATATGCACGGCTGATTCACCGATAAGATTTCTACGATCGTACAAGTGGCGATTATCATGCTTTTTCGTCCTGCAATCTCATTTTTCACTGGAAGTCGGTCGGGGCGGAGTCTGGAGGCGGAGTCACTGGAAAAAAAGGAGGAGCCACTGAACCTATATTGCGCTACAGCGCCCCTCCCATAGAATTTTTTGCCGCGAAACCGGTACAAGGTTGTTCGTCGCGGACCACTCTAACCTCCTGACGCCATATTTTCAACTTCGATACCTGATCGCGGACGGTGCCGTTAACTGCCGACGCAGTTGCGTATCTCTGAGATGTTGCCGGTTTTGACAAAAAGGAGTGTAAGATGTACCCCTTTTTGCATCGATTAAGCTCTCTTAAATCGTGTTCACACTTTGCGACTGATCGCCCAAATCGTGCTATTTGTACAGTATGAATACCCCTTCGATACCCCGTGTCGGCTCCGTGATACGTCTGCGCTATCCTTAAGGTGTACCATTTGCGCACACAACGAGGTCCGGCAGTGAAACACAAAGCAGCGGTAAAGAACAACCAGAAGTAATGGGCGAAGAAATGCAGCGCGTTTGTCTATGACTGGGCGTGTGGTTGGCTGCGCGGCAGCGCGAGGCGGATTTGGAGTCGACATCGGCGCGCACTTTCAGCGGAGGGCAACTGCCATCCGTTCACCTCCCATATGGCAAGGATGACGATGCACAGAGGTGACTTACGGCTTGTTTTCCAGCAGCACACGCTGTCTACAGTTCACACTGAACCGGCTGCGTTCATAATCAAGCCAAGGACATAAGCTTCGCAACACCGAGAAGAGGGGTATATATTCAGATGACGAGTACTCTGCGACTACTACCCCGCTGTGCTGGGTTTTGAAAAAAAGTATCACAGCGTAAAACGAGACGTCGTTGAGTGGTTTTGGAGAGATTATCATTGCTGATAGGTAATATTACAGTTAGTAGGCGCCATTCAGCCTAAAGAGATCTACTGACAACTTCAACTCAATTTCTTTACCACGTCAGATTACTACTTTTTGCACCTTTAGGTGAACTGGCAGCTCAGCCACTGCTCTACGCTCCAGCCCTAAGACGAATGAATCCCAACCAAAATTTCTAGATGTCACGCAACCGGCCTAGGGGGTTGACTGCTTTTTACTAGTTCGCTGGTTCCTTTTGTTCGTCAGCTTGACAAGTATCACTTTGGTAACGTAAATCCCTGCGAAGCTGCTAAATCACAGGTGAGACACACTGGTTACGAGGATTCACGCAGGAGACCTTACAAGCTTCACTGAATACCATTTACTGCCCCTAGACCAAGCCTAACTGCACCCCCATAAGTTCCTATGCTGAAATAAAGGTCCAGATCAAGTGGGAAATCGGTGAAAATGCTTTGCAGCGCACAACGAAAAAAATAGGAGACACCGGTAGGGACCAGAATTTTTCTAAGCTTTTTCTCCTGCACATGACCACTTCAAGATGTAGAGTACCAAACAAGCCCCCGAACTGAGCTGGTTGATAATACATGGACGTAATGTCCACCAGTCAGTTTGTCAACTGGAGAAGCGAAACTCATTTGAATTCGAGCAGGTACAGACTTCATATCGAGCGATGTCGAACTTCCCCATAGAATTGACGCTCGTATTCAAAAGTCCGAGAAAGACAACCTCTTTGTCGCCAGCCACCCCACTGAGCGGCGTTTTACGAATTGTCTTGTCCCAATTTACAATTTTGTTTCTATTACACCAGGCTCCTTACAGAAATGATGTAAAACGAACAAACCAGCAATTCAGTGAAGACAATACCACGTGAAAGTACTGTGTAGTACTGCTTTTAGTTGAACCACAAGAATGAGCTCACCTTTTCCAGTTTCATAACACTCTCCGTGTCCTGCTTGTTTGCGAAAATACTTTCCCAATCGTTTGACATTTCTGATTCTTCACACTTGCTCTTCTAGACTGTCTGAAAAGAAGTAATCCGGTTGAAGACTGATCGCGCGATTGTATATTGCGGATAGTGGCGCTCAATTAAAATCTAGAATCGCTAAATAACTCTACAGAGAAGGAAAAAGCAAGGAAAAAGATCAAGAACACCCCATGCAAAGACCGAGTAGTCCCTCTGAACCAGTTCTCAGGACCAGATCGCTTTATGCCAGCAAGCTGCCACCTCCACCTCAATGATCGTTTCTCCGCGTCACTCTGTACAAATGAAATCTAGCAACAAAAAAAAAACCGAAAAACGGGCGCAGTTTGCCGACGGGGGGGGGCATTTTGCACTTTCGTTGCTTCACTAGTTCTGGTTTACAAGTCTCACTCTGGTGAAACCTGTGAACTCTTGTGAAGCTGGAGCAAGCTCGTCAAGCCATCATGGTAAAACCTGTCAACTCGAGAAGAGGCTGTCTAGATGGGTCGACACGTCGATGGGAAGTCGCCGAGGTACAAATACCCCCCCCCCTTTCTCGTCGACAAACAGCGTAGAATAACGCGCTGTAAAAATGAACTTATGAATTATGTTTGAGTTTCACTGGGCGGGATGACTGAAGGAGGCGCCAGAGATGCCACTTATGAGAGCCATACTACTTTAGTTAATTCCTGTAGCTCTGAAAGGCAGATAATCTTAGAGACTGAGGTGCAGACTACTTGTACCTGCAAGGACGCTTATGAATTGCTCGAGGGCGGGGTGTGACTTGACTTGTTTTGCGAAACATTGAATTGCGGCTGATCACTAACTAGACCTAGGTTGTCTAGTGTTTAGGTGCTCCTGATATCAAACGAAGCCAACTGATAGCACACTTCAGAAAGATGAGATAGGTGTTTGGGAGCCCTCTGCTCCCTCCACCTCCCCTCACAGAAAAAAAAGTCAGCGCCAAGATGTGGAATTTTTTCGAACAATAATTGCATAATAAGGAACAAAAAGTGTAATAAGGACCTCAAAGGGATTACATGAGTACCTAACCACAGCTCTCTGGACGTATTCATAGAAATGGGGAGGCCCACGGTACGGCAGTCATCTCTCTCTCGATCGCCTGGGGTTACGGCAAGAGCACGGCGTATCTTCCTGTGCTCACTGCCGCATTACGATCACCAGAGTTTAAAAAGGGATCTCAAACCTTCCCGCAAACTCCAAACTCGAGCTGTGCTTTTTTCTTACATCCAGTCCGAGAAAGAGGGGCAAGTAAAGAAGAGGGAAGATATGACTGAACTCATGATTTCATCATTTTAGACTTTACTCGGTTCCCAACTGAACCCGTCCATCCCACCCTCAACCAATGTGCTTTTCAATTTAGTTGGAACCAAACATACGTCTCATTT